AAAAAAATGAATATAAACTCAACAAACGATAACATATTAACATGCATAATTAAATTTTAAAAAATGAGTAACTAACCTCATCACCATCTTTACCACCTTGTGAATATTGATTATATAACTGATGAAGAATTTGTTCCACCTTAACAACAAGCTTAGCAACAGTTTGAGCATCATATAAGGATTCAAAACAAAACTTCAAATACTTCAACTTATACCTCGGATCAAGTACAACTGCCAAAAACAACATGGGATTGATGCGATCTGGATCACCCCATTATTTATCATATTTACTCTTCATCTTAGTAGCCATGGTGTATAACAATGAACCATTGTTACTAGCCAAGTAACCCAATTGAGAATCAATCTCACAAAGCTCATGAAAGAAGTTGTTGGAAGTTATGTGCAATGTGCCACTAAACTTCAAAGTAACTTCGCAAAAAGTGGACAAAAATTTGACAAAAATAGAAGCACACTCCCAATCACTAGAACTCAGTGGTCCAATCCTCTTCTTATCATTTTCTTTCTTCTCAAAATAACTCAAAAACTTGTCATCTTCATCCGCGTACCTTTCAAATGCCTTTTCAAATTTGAGAGCTACATTCAACATCATGAAAGTAGAATTCCATCTTGTAGGAACATTTAAAACTAACCACCCCTTGTAATCAACTTTTTCTTTCTCAACGCAAGATTTAAACTTTTGCAACCTTGAAGGAGATGAACGAATATATCTAACACAGCTACGAATTGCAGTAATTGAATTATGCATCTTTTTCAACCCCTCGTTTACAATTAGGTTTACTATGTGAGCATTACATCTTAAATGCATGTACTCACCATTAAGAATAGATCCATTCCATGCATTAACCCTTCTTCTAACAAAAGCAACAACTACATCATTTGCAGATGCATTATCAACCGTAATACTAAAAACATTCTCAATCCCCCACCCAAGCAAACAAGCTTCAATAACCTTACCAATTGTCTCACCCTTATGACTTGAAATCTGACAAAAGTTTATAATTATTTTCCGTAAATGCCAATTACTATCAATGTAATGTGCAGTGAGACACATATAAGACATTTGTGTGGAAGATGTCCAACAATCAGTTGTTAAACATATTCTTTGACCGACATTTGTCAACTCTTTCTTCAATTTAATCCTCTCATTGCAAAACAACTTATAAACATCTCTAGCAACAGTCATTCTACTAGGAACACCAAATTTTGGTTGCAACTCATGAACAAGTTCCCTAAATCCTTCACCCTCTACAACACTAAAGGGTTGTTCATCCTTAAGCACAAACCTAGCCACGGCTTTGCGACATCTCTCTTTATTAAATGACACCTCATTTCATTGAGAGTAGGAAAGTTAAGAAATTTTTGTTTTTTATCGCTAAAACTATCCAAATATTTCTTACATTGGTTCCTTAGGTGATTCCACAAAGAACTTGTACCAATTTTCTTACTATGGTAAGCATAGTCTTTTCCACAATAATTACAAAAACATCTAGAGTCCTTTTTTGAAAAGTGATCCCAAACGTTTGAAGTTCTACCACCCCTTTTCTTAGATGAGTTTAGTTCATCATTGTCTGCGATTTTTGGAGATTTAGGAATATCTTCCATTGTTCCTATATATAGTCAATTAAGATAACATTTTCAGAAAATTAACCCTCAAAATAGGCAACAAAATAAATCAATAAACCAACAGAAATACATACACAATTAAACTAAAGACTGACAGTTAAATTAATAGCTAAGCATACGTGAAAAAGAAGGTTCCTTACGATTTCTGTTTAGTTGTTACTTGCTGCGAGTACGGTGGCGACGAAGGGAGACGGCGACGGACGGAGACGGTGACGAACGGAGACAGCGACAGACCGAGATGACGACGGAGGCGACGACGACGGATGACGATGGCGACGACGACGGATGACGATGGCGACGGCGACAGTTGACGATGGCGATGGCGACAGATGACGATGGCGACGGAGGGAAACAGCAACGGAGGGAGATGGCGACGGAGGGAGATGGCGACGGAGGTAGATTTAGGAGAAGGAGACGGTAGCGTCGGTCGCTGCTGTGGGAGAAGCCGAGAAGGAGATGGTAGGGTTGTAGGAGAAGCCGAGAAGGAGACGGTAGGGTTGTTTTGACTTTTGAGTTAATTTCTAAATCTAATTGCTATTTCCTATTTTTGTTGGGCTGTTACCTATTGGCCTGTTTGAGTGTTTGTATTGGGCTAACAAGTAACACATAACATTTAAGTCAAAAGAGGCATGTTTGTACTTGGGCTAACATGAAACACCTTCTTAATTTTTGTAAATATCACACACATATATGTATATATATACATAATTTTATAAAAAAAAAATATACATTAGCGGCAGGTTGGCGGTTTGGGTTGGGTTACGTTATGCCAACCCAATTTCAACCATTCTAATTAGCGGTTAGCGGTTTGGCGGGTTGGGTTTAATCGGGTTGTTAGCGGTTTGGGTTGGGCGGGTTTCGCGGGTTGACGGTTTTTTGTTCACCCCTAGTTCTATTCCATTTCAAATCCTACAAACCAAAAACACCAAATAATCTAAATCATTACACGAAATTCAACTCCGTCAAAGACATTCCATTAAACCAAACATACCTTAAATTAAATATTTTTTAATTAATTTTCTAAAATATTTTAAATCCAAATCCGTCGAAAACATTTGATTAGATGGTACAAAAGTAGATTAAGTAAACCACAAGGATGGTGTCTGATTAGTTTGAGCTTGGCTTCAAATGTCAAAAGTACCAGGAGGTCACAGGTTCAAATACAAGGAGGAATAAAATTCCCTTGTGGCCACGGAGGTTCAAATGCGATGACTTCGGGCTATATGCAAAGTTGATGGTCGTTCTGTATTAATCGACTCGCATAACGGGTTAGATATCAAGAATAATAAAAAAATAGATTAACTTGATTCATTAACATATTCATAAAAACCATTTATTACATTGTCTATTTGACTATTTGTACAAATAAATTCCATTCAATAACTTGGTCATAATGACTTATGGCCATGCATTTATTACATGCCATTTCTACAATATCATAATCCAATATAAAAAATATTACATACAAAATTCAAAACAGGAATAGGATCCCATTAAGATCGCAATGCCAGTGTTTTCCCATTCCCATTCCCATTAAGATGCAACATTCCATTCCCATTCCCATTCTCATTCTCATTCCCATTAGGAGGCACCTTATTTCCTTTCCCATTATCATTTTGATTCCTGTTAGGATACAACTTATTGTCATTCTCATTCTCATTTTCGTTAAAAGATAACTTATTTTTATTTCCATTCTCATTCCTGTTAAAAGACAGTTTACTCTCATTCCCGTTTCCGTTAAGGGACAACTTACTCCCATTTCCATTCCCGTTAAGAGACAACCCATTCTCATTCCTATTCTTGTTAAGAGAAAGCCCATTTACATTCTCATGCCCTTTAAAAGACAACTTATTCTCATTCCTATTCCCATTTCCATTCCCGTTAAGAGACAACCCATTCCCATTCCCATTCCTGTTAAGAGACAACTTATTCCCATTCCCATTACGAGGCAACTTCGACAAGACTGGTGCTTCATGTGAAAAGCCCAAATGCCGACCTCCCAAACCAAACGATTGATTCCTCAAAACCTCGTGCAAATGACCAAACAACTCTTTCTTCAACCATTCAAAAGCCAAATCCAACCTTTCCAACTGCTCCATTGCATTCTTATTGTACATAAACAACCCATAATACAACTCAAAACTATCACTTGATGTATTATCCACCAAATCCAACAATTTCTCATACCCTTTAGTGTTAATTGGAGTACTATACAAATCCAACTTCTCCAAGATCCTCCCAACTGTATGGGTTATGAATTGAGACTCAGCTGCATGCTGATCATGTTCAGCACATCCCATTTCCATCATTATACACCCTTCTTTTGCAAAAGAATCAAGAAACCTTTGGCAACGTGAAACCCTAGCTTCATCATGACCGATTCTAACTTTATCATACACAAATGGAAGATCTTTCCAACTGTGTTTACCACTTTCAGGCCCAAACATTGGATGGGTACATAAAATATCGAAATGTGGTGGCAATATTTGCAAGAACAAATCTTTAGCGAATTCTTTAACGGATAAAACATCTACGAATAACGTGCTTCGTTTCAATCTTTGTAATGGTAATGATCGGAGTACTTTATCGGTTGAAAGGATTGATGTACAAAGGAGGATTACCTCGGGGTGTTCTTCGCAGAGGTCGTCGGCGTTAGAGTAAAAGTAGACGCCGAGTTCCGCTGCCACCGCGGAGTAATCGGTGCGGGAGTGTGCAAGGACGGTGTGGCCTTGACGAGCTAGGGATTTCGCAAGGAACTGGCCAAAGTTGCCGAACCCTACAACGGCGATTTTAAGTGGTTTGGATTTGGCGATGTGGTCGGACATTTTGGAATCGTTGTCGAAGGGTTGAGCGGTGTCTATGGCGGAGATTTGGAAATTGCGACGGAGGCGTAGGATTTGGGTCTTTGGTAGATGAGAAGGTGGCGGTGGTGGAGAATGGGAGGGAGGGTGGCGAATGCAGCTGCCACGGTGGAGATGGTGGTGGTCGGAAAGATTGGAGAACCGAGATACCGTCAGAGAGCTGGAATGCATTTTCCGACGACGGTTCTTGCTTACTCTGACTTCGCCGGCGACGGTGAACTGATTTACTTTGAAAGGAGGTGGAATGTGAGCTTGTTTTATAGGCGGGGAAGCAATTTGGTAGAGACACCTTACAAGGGTAATAATGTAATTTACTATAACTTTTATTAAATTAAAAATACGTTTGTTATTTATTTATTTTATTTATAATAAATTAGAATTTTCTTTTATGTGGCTACACGACCACGAACGACGTTTGCTCGTATCCGGTTGCTTACCGAACACCATCGAAAAAATAAAACGAAAATAATATGAAAATAAAAATTTCCAAAGATTTTGTTGGAAATGCAATTATTGGTTTGAAGAAACGAGAAAAATGTGTCAAAATTCGTGAAATTTTAATAATAATAATATTGTTTTCTCATTTGTATGTGTTATATCTATTTGTCGGTCCGTGTTATATGTGTGCATGTGTAAGTGTGCGTATTGGTTTTTGTTATATGTATATACATGTGTATATATATGTTATAGTACTATATATAAAAATGCATTATATGCAGTGCGGGATCTAGAAACTATTATGCTTGGGGCCACACTTAGGAGGGTCGAAAAAATTTCGAAACCGAACAATTCGTCCGAACCAAAAAAGGTTTCGGGTTTTCATTTTTAGGTTTAAACTGTTCGGTGTAACCGAATAAAGATAACTGATACGGTTGAAATAAGCTAGGTATTGACCCTACAATTTATATTTGTTGAGTGAATATGACTTGTATTATCTTTTCATATGTGGTACTGAGTATCATGCGTACTGAAATGCAATGATGTGGTGGAGAGTGACTTCTAAGGCTTATGTTTTAATCTTTTAGTACTCTTCTTAAGATGAGCTTCCAATGAGACCTACCAACTAGGAATTATTCCTTCTGCCTGATCATATAATTCACAAATAACACTTGGATCTTTAATTGTCTTGCATACTGCTTTTCAACACAAAATTGCAAAATTAACCTAACATTTCCATTTGTCTAACATTTCCATTTTCTTACAAAGTTAACCTAATATTTCCTACAAAATTGCAAAATTAACCTAACATTTTCATTTCCCTACAAAATTATAAAATTAACGTAACATTTCCATTTTTCTAACATTTTCATTTTCTTACAAAGTTAACTTAATATTTCCTACAAAATTGCAAAATTAGCCTAACATTTCCATTTTTCCACAAAATTGCAAAATTAACCTAACATTACTATATGTCTATAAAATTGCAAAATTAACCTAACATTACTATATGTCTATAAAATTGCAAAATTAACCTAACATAAAGCATTTACCAAAATACCAAATTATCAATTATGAAGCAAACAACAAAATCAAAGTCATTCAAAATTAAATATTGGAATTTAGAAATCAAAAATTTTACCCAAATCAAATTAGAGACTGGAGACTGGAGTAGGTAAGCAGACTGCGTGAACTGTGAAGGTGAAGGCGTGAACTGTTACCGTGTGAACTGTGAAGGAGAAGGACTAAGGAGGGGGCCTTCATAATTTTATTGTTGGGGGCCCAACTAAATTAAATTAAAAACTACAAATAAAAAATAGGCTTTCTAAACATTTTTTTGTTGGGGGGCCAGGACCCCAATGGTCTCCATATGCATCCGCCCATGATTATATGTATGGTGATACATATGTATATGTGTGCTTGTATGTCTATGTCTATACGTGTCTATGTGTATATGTGGATGTATATGTGTTGGTTGCTAATTGTGATAGATCTGTGTATAATTGTATATATGATATATCATGGATACATGTATATAAGTATATATGCATGTGTATATGTGAATGTATAGATTATGTTTATGTTGTTTGGTAACCGTATATGATGTATATATGTGTTGTGTACATGTGTGTGTGTGTGTGTGTGTATATATATATATATATATGTGTGTGTGTGTGTGTGTGTGCATGTGTATATATGAATGTATAGATAATGTGTGTGTTGTTTGGTACCCGCATATGATGTATACATGTGTTGTATATATGTTGTATATGTATATATATGATCAATGTACATGAATCTATTTTAAAGTAATTGTACATACCAGTTTAATGTTTTTACCTTTATACAAATCTTGTGTATGTAGGACAAGTTTCAATGGGGCCCGACACAAAAGGTAGAGGTCTATGATGCATGGCCCATACCATGCACAATATGTATGAGGATTGAATGAGGGGTGAAAGAAATGAGTCGTGGCACAAGCCTATAATTTGGAGGGGGGTGAGGTGGGACGAGCAAGACTTCACATCCCTCAGAGGACACCACCTTCTTTGGATCCCAGAGTCGTATTGGCTCAGCATGATTGATCAGGGTTTTATCTTTATTCTGAGTTTTGTGCATTACCTTTGTTTTATCGCAACTTATATGTTATGTTTTTAACAGGTGTGGGATACCGGTCATTGGAGATCCCACCTATTGATCCTTCGATGTTCGTTTACCCCCAAGCGGCTAGAGTAACTGTTAGTATACTTTGTTTTATAAAACCGTTTGGTAGGTTTAAAGTAATATATTTTAATAAACGTAGTGAAACTACTTGTTTGGGCTGCCACTATTGGACATACATTAGGCTAAGTAGATAGGTCGATTGGCAATGTGACTACCATTGGTAATTAGAATATTATAATTGTCAAAAGGAGGCATTTGATATGTTTGACTTACAGTTATTATGTTGTTGAAATGTCTACAGATATAAGCCATCCGTTTTTGTTTTGGTAAACCATAGGAGCGGTTTCGAGAGCTTAGGGACGAGGCCCAATCTAGTACAGAGTGTTGGAGGACGAAGGGAATGCCGTCTTTTTGGGTTCGAGATCTCCCAGGATCCCAATTATGCTATGACCAATAGTTGCACTAGCAGCACCAAGAGATCATCCGTTACTATATTGGTAGCAGAAGTATGTTGGTTATATTTTTATATATCATGTCATTACTTTTCATTGCCAACAAATTATTGATTTTTGTCAAATATTGAATATTTACAGGTGGTTGAGTTTAAAAACGAAAATGGGAAGGATCGTGGAGGAGAAGCTACAGGATGAACAGCCGAGCTGGAGATCGTACGAAGAGTAAGGTAGATGTGGAGGCCCAACAGGCCAGCTATGCTGCCTAGTTAGCTGAGCAAGTCATCTTATTGCAACAGTTTGTTACTTTAATGCAGTAGCGTAGATACACTCTCCTCCTCATCCTTTTATCTCCCTAGTTAGATTGGTATTTTGAATTGTATGAATTGGTTATTTCTAATTTGTTGGGTAGTTTTAGTTTGTTAATTTGAATTTGTGGGCAGGTTTTGTATTAAATATAAATGAAATACATAACTTTTTTTTAGTTTATAAAAATTGGCGACGGAAAGACGTCGCTAAAAGTTAGTAGAGTGTCACTAATTTGTCGTTAAAAGTTTCTCGCTAATTTGTCACTAGAAATCCCTCGCTAATTCGCCGCTAAAACGTCTTGTCACTAACAAGTTTTTATGACGCTTTTAAAATAAAGTGTTGTATTAATTATTTTTTACGGCATTATTTGAAAAAGTTTCATATGAACACAAGTGTCATATAAATAGATGAGTTTATAACATACTTTCAAAATTGTTGCATAAAATAGCTAATACGACACTTTATTTAAAAAAATCGTGATAAAAAACTTGTTGAACGCTAAAAAACGTCCTATAAACCTATTGCAATACTTTTAGATAAGTCGCTTTATGGTCTGCTCCTACAAACTTAAGTTTAAAATATATTTCATTCGTCAAATTTGTATAACCACTAACTCACCTATCCAACCCAGCGCCTACTCAACTCAACCCGCAAGGGTTGGGTTATACATTTTTCTTTTATAAATTATGCATTAAAAAGGATTAAAATATTTAATGTTTCGTAAACATTTAATCTATTTACAAATACAAAATAATTTTTATATAATTATATTTTACATTTTTTCATTTATATGTTAATGTTAAATTTATAAAAAAAAATGGAATATAATGCTAATTTATAATCTAATTAAAAAATTATATCAATATTCTTTGTATCTTTTTATAACCAAAATCTTATATATTAAATTATTTATACATTTTTATAAATACACTTAAAAAAACAAAAAAAACATGATGTGACATAAATCAATTTTTAATTAAGAAAATAATACTACATTCGTTCCAAAATAAGTGTCCATAATGAAAAATTCGCACAATTTTAGTAAAGTGTAATAATTAAAGATTTATCTAGAGATGAAAATTTTATCAGTAGAGGCAACTCAGGCAGGTATCCGACCATAACGGGACGAGATTCCCCGCTTTAGTGGGGATGTGGATTTATGTTTATACTCGAAGCGGGGTCAGGGATGACATTACTTGCTCGTAATACAACCCTGAATAATTTTTTAATTTTTTTAACATATGTATATATATATATATATATATAGTGTGTGTGTGTGTGTGTGTATGTAAATAAATACAAATGTATATAGAACGGGAGCCAGAGTCTGGGAAAAGATGGTTGGAGACAGTTCCAAATATGATTTAAGGGTAGGGGTGGTCAATGACGGCATAGGGATTGGGCATGTGCTTTGCTCCCATGGTTTACACGCACGTGTGTGTGTGTGTATATATATATATATATATACATGAAATATTATTATGAATTGTTTAAAAAAATTAGTATATTGTTTCATAAGATATGCCAGTGGCTTCACATATGAAATGTTATTATGAAACAACTCTTGTATGAAAATAGGTAACAGAAATTGTAATTGTTTCATAGGAGAACCAATAATTGGTTTGGCGGCTTCGCATGAGAAACAAAAACCTTTTACACATTAAAAAGTTAATATGTTGTTTCATAAGTGACGCAATAATGTGTTTGGTTTCGTATAAAAAAACAAAACGGTTGAAAAAAAGGCGAGGAGGAGCCCGGGGATTTATTTGATATTATATGAAATATTTAAGAAAATTACAAATATTCCTA